TTGTTATAAGTTTACAAAAGTTTTTAATAAGTGCATATGGCAACACTTTTTCTTTTTTTTTAAATCCTTTTTGAAATGTGTTTAACAACTCAATTATTTTTCCTATAGGTATCAATATATTTTTCATATTTATTCCATAATTTTATTTTTATGACCCACTCATCTGTGGGCTTGATAAGACCTCCATAAGAGAGTTGTTGTACCCATGATGGTAAACCATAACTATGTTCACTAACTTTGTATGTGAAATTACCTTTATACTTGTTAAAAATTAAATTAAATCTATAATATTGTCACCAGCTTGTTCAAAAATTATTTCAGATTCAGTAATAGCATGTTCATGTTGATAAGATACAATCTTCAAAATATTTGACCCAACCTTTGTAATTCCTGCTACAAGTTGCTTTCTGTTTATAACATCTAATTTACCTTCACGAATAGAGACAGGTGTGTCATAGGTATATTTATACAAACAAAGTGTTAGAACTGCAGTTTTCTTTAAAGGCGTTTAGTAGGTAAACCTAAAATAAGTTCCAACAATTTTTATATAGACATTTTATTGCTTAATCATTTTACCTAATAATTAATTTTGAAGATCTCTTTCATAGTCATTGTTTGTAAAATGAGCAGAGCACGTCACATTCAACACACGCATTTCTTACATTAGAGCCACAGAATAATAAATAATCAGAATGTCCACTCTCAGATGCTGCCTTTAAAGTTTTTCAGCTCGCGCGCTGTATGCGCGCGTATGTCTATGATTGCCGTAAGTCAATTGAACCGGGTTAATTTTTCTATGCACAACACATAAACAACACTGGTTCCCTCTACTAAAACATAGCGGAACGTCTGCGCGAAGGAGATGCGCGTACTTAATTTTCCATGGAGAGTGGGCATTCTCTTTGTTTATTATTTTGTGTTAGAGCCATCGAGTTAGAATCAGATATATGTACTTACATATCTCTGGTTAGAATCTATGGAGAAGCTATGAGCATATTAACGTGTGTATTAAAAACAGCGTAGGTAGGTATGGCTAACGATAATACCAATATGGCGGTGGGATCATGGCCGGACTCAATAATATTAAAACTACTATAAAAATATGGCTAGTTATTTAGAAGATTTAATCATAATCTGAAAAAGTGCAATACAGTTTTAATAAACTATGATTTATTTATCCCGCGGTAAACACTAAAAACACGATATATTATACATAACGATAAATTAATACAGTCAAATACTATTAATTTATTCTCTGAAGTAGGGCCATTACTTTGTTTACATATTTGTATACTAACCTGTACAACGTTAGTCCTGAATGTTTTTTATTAGCATTGCTTCTGCTACTGCAACTACATTGAGAACAAGAAACTATTATTATGCACCATCACAATATATTATTATAGTTTCTATAAAAGTATTATAAAACTTAAAACATTCGAAAAAAAAACAAACGTAAATAAACTTATACGATCTGTCAAAAGTGTCAAAACAATATTAACAATATGGCCGAAGTGAGGTCGTTTTTAGTCACGTGATGCCCTCTCCATAGATACTAACTCGATGATATTAACTTAAAAACGGCGTAGGTAGGCGTGGCTAACGTTAATACCAATATGGCGGTGGGATCAGGGCCAGACTCAATAATATTAAAACTACTATACAAATATGACTAGTTATTCAGAAGATTTAATCATAATCTAAAACAGTGCAATACATTTTTAATAAACTATGATTTATTTATCCCGCGGTGAACACTAAAAACGCAATATATTATACATAAAGATAAATTAATACAGTCAAATACCAATAATTTATTCTCTGAAGTACGGGCCATTACTTTGTTTACATATTTTTATACTAACCTGTAGAACGATATTCCTGAAGATTTTTTATTAACGTTGCTTCTGCTACTGCAACTACGTTGAGAACAAGAAACCATTATTATGCACATTAATATATCACAATATATTATTACAGTTTCTATAAAAGTATTTAAAAACTAAAAATATTCGAAAATCAACAAATGTAAACAAGCATACGATCTGTCAAAAGTATCAAAACAATATTCTTAACAATATGGCCGAAGTGAGGTCGTTTTTATTCTCGTGATGTCCTCTCCTCTCCATATATTCTTACTTGATGATTAGAGCATAGGACAAAATCAATCCTATCTGTGTTTAGTGTCCTTGTGTAAGGGGTGTTCATTCAAATTTGCCGCCAAAAGATCATTAGTATTGACCCCAGCCGCAATGGATCCTAATGAACGAAATTTGTACATTGATTTGCTTATATATGTCTACTATTATATTATTTATCTATGAACAATCTTTTCTTTAACGGAAATTCCATCAGAGCGATAGTTTACATTTATTTTTGGTTTTACCATTTGCAATAATTTTTCAAATACTGAAACCTGCATCCTAGTATATTTAAAAAACTGCTGGGTATCCCAGTTTTTCATATTTTTATAAAAATTAAAATTACCTCTTGTCTTTCTGTACTGGTTAATGAACCTCTGTTTGTACCGACGTTGTCTTTTATTTCGAAGGTTCAGTGCTGCTCGAATACAAAGTATCAGTGCCACTGCACCTAACAAAGTCCGAGCATTTTCATTTTCCATTGTATTAATTTTTAAGCAAAAATTAATAATATCAAATCAAAAATGTAAGGTTAGAAATTTAGATCTGATCTTTACATCGAGCAAAAAGATAAAAGAGGGAATCTAATCGTTATGAAAAGGAGACCAAAAAAGTGGCCTCTGATGGCGGACATATCCGGAAATGCAAAGGCGCTAAATTTAAATTTTCCAACACTTAACAATAGCTGTAAAATATTTTTCAGACAAGAAAGTTTTAATTAAATATTAACGATAATTAATTACTATTTATAACTGGGAATAAGCCACATTAAAGATAAAAATACATTTATTTTAAATAAATGTATTTTTATCTTTAATGTGGCTTATTCCCAGTTATAAATAGTAATTAATTTACAATGCCACAAGAAAATAGCTTCAGAACATTAACGATAATAGTCTAAAAAGTGACACAATTGGTAATAAACTTCGATATAAATAAAATTTCATGTGACAGTTGGGACAAACAATAACATAACCAAACTAAATTTGACTTTTTAAACAAGGAAAGAGACTGTCTTTCCTTGTTTAAAGTGGCCTCTCAAGATAGCACTTCCTGTCTAACAATATTTTTGTCCCCACTACCTTTACATTCCCTCTTTTATCTTTTTGCTCGATGGATCTTTAACGCCATCGAGTTAGAATCTAGATGTTTAACGCCAACGCCAACCGAAAGTTTATAAATGCAGTGTACGGTCCGTCCCAAACCCTTTTTTCAGTGCGTCATAGTTGTTCGAATTCTCTCTAACGCATTAAGCTAGAAGTGACAGAAAAAAACGTGAGTCGCTTATTATTATACATAGAAATTAGAAAATTAGGTATCGTTTACGGGTATTCGCATATTAAAGCGAATTCTACTTACGAACGTATAATTGGTTGGAGTTTAGAATATGCTAAATAGATATCCAATCAATTATGCATATAAATATAATTTGACACAGATGATCTTGATAATGACAGTGACAGTACTTTCACAACAACTGATAAAATGATAATTGCCATTCCAGGTTAGTATTTTCAGACATTTTAACTACAGTGAAAATTAAATTCTGTATTTATTGTCATAAAAATATTTTAAATATTCCGAGATATACCGAGAATGAAAAAAGACTAATATTAAAATTATTAAATTAGTTTCAATTAGAAAATGAGGCTGAGTTATCTTTATTTCAGTTTCTGTCGCTCGCGAATCAGATTGTGAATTCCGGAATGATATTGAGGAAATATCTTAAACTAATACCTTTATGGATATTTATATGTATTAAAACGGTTCTTTTTAGAACCACGACATTTTCTTGAAATGTAGGATATAATTGATACCAGCCACATATCTAGTGTAATCATTGATTTTTAAGAATCAGATTCTGAATGGGATTATAGATTGTTTGAAATATAATATTCATTTTTGTTATTCATAAAAAAGAAGGTAAACTTACATTCTGTATCTTGTTTTTTAACTAAACTCCATTAACACGATTTCATCTGGATATCGGAACTGGTAGATTAACTCAAGAATCAACTGCTTCACTATTTAAACTATTTATATTGTTTTTTTAACTAAACTTTATAACCTTCTTTCATTTGCACACCAAATCTGGTAGAATAACTCAAAAATCAACTGCTTCACTATTTAAACTATTTCCACTATTTAATGACAACTCTTCACAAAATTAAACTATTGGCTGCCACACAAACTTATCAGAAAATTCCTTATCCAAATATGACTGATTTAAATCGATATTATTTTATCGCAGGAATGTTTACTTTGATGCCTTGCAATTGTCAGTAATTTTTTTTACCTTGCAGTCAACTCTTAAAAGATTCTAGGAGGAAGCGTTATTTTAAATAAACAAACCTTCCAATTCCCTAGTGTTTGTAATAAATAATAATAAATCCATAAACAAATCTTAGCTAATTAAGCACTTTCCATGGAATGTATAAAATAGAACAGAATAGAATAGAATTATGACAAACTGCTATGCATTAAAAAAAATAACCTTTTAACGTTTAGCCGATTACGATCCTGCAACTGTCAGATTTAACTAAAATGTCATGCAATAATTCTCGACATTCTTAAAATCCTATATGACGTCAAAATTAGTGACGCACTGAAAAAAGGGTTTGGGACAAACTGTATGATAGCCAGCGCCAAGGTCAACGGCGAACGCCAGCGCCAACGCCAAAGTAAAGTTTATAAATCAGCCTTTAAAGTACACCACACACTTAAATATATCACAAAATGGCAATTAAATTTAGGAAGTAAATATTGAGTAAAAACACACAGAATACCTGTCACGTCAATGTCACTTGTCAAAATATGACCAAAGCATTGCCAACCTCCATTTTTCTGATCACTCCTAGTAAACAGTCGGTAAACACCTAATAAGATTGACACTTCCTATATCCGTATAAAATAACGTGATTATAATCTAAAATGAGCGTCCTGAAATTATTCATGGATGGAAACAAACTGATATTTTTTCTCGAAGTATCTTCGATTTAGTGTTGAAGTGAAGATTACTGTTATTCCTACCTGTGTGGTGGAATGGCTTTTGTGATTTTTATAGTTGCGTCAGTGGTTATCCTTTCGTTCAGAAACATGTTAGATTGTTAATTATTGTGCCTATTATAAATTCGGAGTGTATTTTAACAATATTTCGACGTGTAATGGTGCAATTACTGCAAAAAAATCTGGATGGGCCAAATCTATATTTGGAACTGGAAGGCAACCTAACCCAGAAGTAGGTATCTACCTACTCAAATATAGTATCCATAAGTATATACCAAATGAGCTATAATATTACAACAAATTTACTATTTGAACTGCAAACACTTCCAATAGTATAATTTTTTAACTAGGTAATACTTAATTAAATTGAAGAAAAAAATATATCCCACTATTTATGTTGAACTAATTTTGTATGAGAATAATATTTTTAATAACCAATTTTAAAAGCGATTACATACTTTATTATGTTTATAAATTAGAGATTATTGTTCATTTATCTTTTTATTTACTTCACTTTGCAAATTTACTGTTTTCTGTGAAAAATTAAAATCCAAGTATTTAAGAACATGTTTAAGCAGAATACAATCTGTGTTTGAAAAACAAAAAGGAGAAATATACCAGATCTTTTCTGTAGTTTTACAGATATAGTCTAATTAACTGTGATCTGTACCCTTCAAGCAGTTTCACTAAGAGTCAAAAATAGCAGTATAGCATTCAGTACATTTTGAAAGCTTTATGCAATTTTGACTTTGTGAATTACAATTTTACTTAATTGTGAAAAATTAAAAGGTTTTAGTATTTAAAAACTAGTGGCCATATTTATTTATTCCATGAAAAAGTAAATGTCATTTATAGAAATGCTAAATATACAATACAGACCCTGAGGGAAGGCTATGTGGGTCAAACTAGAAAACAATATATAATACAAACACTACTATAATAACTTTAAGACATTAAAAATTTTGAATAAGAAGATGAGGTTCACTTGGACAAACAATTTGTGTGTGTATGTTAAAAGAATGAAAACTCACAACCTATTTATACAAAAAGGAAAGGAAAAAAAACAAATGTAGAAAATATCAGTGTGATAGGGGTTATACAATGGTTCTCATAGATTAGACTTTTTAATTTTCATTTGAAGGCATTGATGTTCATTGCCTTCACTATGTCTGGGATAAGGTTATAGTACTTTATCTCTTTTACTTACTATACCAAATTTTTTGTGAAGTCTTAAATATTAGTTTTGTTGCTTAAATCTTTGGTAAGAATAAAAAAAAATTAAAATATGAGGGGTATAGAAGCAAAATCCGTCAAGTTACATCTATTAAAATTTTCACTAGAAGTGAGAAACTTTCAGTATAAAATTAGTTGTACAGTAGACTCCCCTTTAACCATCACCTTGGAACCAGAGCCTGGCTGGTTGACCAAATAGCCAGTTAATCCAATGTGCAGAATGTTTTATGAGAAAAATCAAGTACATATATACCTACATATATGAAGCACATGTACAGGAAGGTGTATATTAATAGAGATCACAGAGTATATAGTTGAAAAATACCATTTATTTCTATGTACATATACATATTTAAATATTTTACAAACTGGTTTGGAAAAAATCGGTAATTTTGTTCTGTTTCTTGACATTAAGTGAATTTTTCAAAGCTATTAATATCTCTCCATTTTTTAAAAACCAAGACGTCTAGTGAATATGACCCAGGTTGTTGTTCAATATACTTCAATGCCTCCTCCATTGTAGCCCTCGCTTTGGTGTGGCCGAGTGTAATTATTTCGTTGTCTGTCAAAAATTTGTTTTCAAGTTCCTTGTCACAGTTCATCCATTCTTCAATATCTTCGGCCTGCTATTGGACATTTTCGGATAACATTTGGAGTTCTTGAAAAATAGTGGTAGAATTATCTACTTCATGTGATTGTTGACACTCAATAAGTTCCTCAATGTTGGCCCAAAGTTTTTGTCAAGATTTAACTAAAGTAGAAGCAGGAATTTCTTGGAAGGTTGAGATCTTCAGACAGTAATTCAGATTTCAGAGAGTAATTTATTTGGTTCTTGAAGGAACCACAACCAAAGAGCTTCATCTATCTCGAATTGGGTTTTTTAAGTGCATCTAGTTTTTAGATTTTTATCTGATTCCATTTGGGCACAGAAATCTTCGATTGAACACCGATCCTTTTGCCAGTCATTAACTGTCTTTTTCCCCATATTCAACTCTGAACAAATGTTCTTTACCGATTCACCTTTGTCTACACATTTACACTTTTCACTCATTTTCGCACAAGAATTCAATCCTCGAAAGCAAAACAGAAGTGACAGCTGGGGGCGAGAGATGATCATCAAGCGGCGATTGATGATCGTCTCGTATGCAAAACAATAGGAAGTAATAGTGGCCGGTTAATACGACGGCCGGTTAATGCGGGACCGGTTAAGAGGGAGTCTACTCTATGGACATGGCAGGATTTGCAACAAAATTTATGAATTATTTTAAACATTAGACTCTTGTTACTTATAACATATTTATTGTTTCATATTTATATTTTCTATCTATAGATATTATATATAAAAGGCTAGGATAACAAGTCACACTATTTGGCCAGTATGGCAACTATGCCACCTAAGAAAGAAATCTGACATTTAAATCATATTATGTTCTTGAAATGATACAGTGACTGAATAACTAAAAACAAAACATGATTAGTTCAATACATTAAAACTTCATCTAGCTCTCTAGATACCAATATCGTTATCCATTACAACAAAATAAAAGGAAATTTACATAAACCTACTTTAAAAAATATCTAATCAACACTAAAAACATTACATGGTTAGAAGCTGTTACTTGCCACTTTGTGGGAACAGTTAAATCATGTGTCACTCCAAATGTTTTGCCATTGGTCAGGCCAGATTTAATGGTCTTTGTAACTAAATTTTTTGGACAAGGTGGGTTTTGCAGCTAAGCATATTTTCTTCTTTAAATTACTCCAACTTAACATGGAATTTGCACCTAAATTATGTTTAAACTTATGTATATACACTTAAAAAACAAATTCTCCTATCAAATGCAAATTTCACAAAAATGTGACTTAATGGGTTTTGCATCTATATCCCTCATATATAGTGTGGGTATTTTTCATTGAAATAGTGTGTCACTAAATTTCACACTGAATGTGAATGCGCTAGAGAAGAGTCGCTACTCTGCTATATTAAGTACATGCAAGGGAAATGCTTTAATGATGTTGATTTGCTAAATTTTTCGAAATCGTTCACAATCAAACATGTAATTTTTAAAGTGGCTAATGCATATTGTGAAATGAAAGATAAAACATCCAAAAGAGTCATCTTATGTAATTAACTGTATTAGGGCACAACATCAATTCAATTTGAAGAAATTAATGAAAGCAATGTTTGACAAGAATGAGCCAGTTTATCAGCTTGTCAGGAATGAGGTTATTGTCAAACTAGTTTTGAATCAAACCCATACTTCACAACCTGATTCATCCGGAAATAAGAATCAAGACAAAGAAAATGATCAGAGGGTATCACTAAAAAGAGTCACTAACCTAAAGGCTTAGGAGGCTGCCAATGTTCTACTAGACTATTTTGAGCAACAAGAACCTTCGTACCCTTTCGACATTTTCAACTTGTGCAGAATATGCCAGAAGATTATAAAAATCAATTAACACAGGCTAAAGTGACTGATTTATTTTTCAAAAGCAAAGCTACAAATATATAACCGCCTTATCTAAATGCAAATTAATCTACATACCTATGAAGCTTTTATTTTTTTGTTTAGTGTAAATTTTTTTTATATCAAATTCTGTTTTTTTCGTCATGTATTTTTTTATGCAATGTAAGTACCTATGTATCTGTTTTTTATTTTTTATGATTTAATCTTAAATCAATGTTTGTTATCTTGCTTGAAAAACATGGTAAATCACTTGTTTCTTGACAGAATATTCTTTTATAGCTCCTTCTTCTTAAGATGCCTTCTGCATTACTGAAGGTTGGTTATAACTACAGCAAATTGCTCTCTATCTTCAGCTGTTCTTAGTATCAAATGTGTGTCTATTCTGTCCAGTCTCTTAATTCTTTAATCAGGAACATTTTCTTCTTCCTGGACCTCTTCTTACTTCCACTTTCCCTTCCATTATAAGTTGTAGGAGCTTGTATTTTTCTCCTCTGTAAATATGTCCTAGATAACTCGTTATCTGCTTTTCACAATATTTAGGAGTTCGCTCTCAGTACCCATTCTTCTTAGCACCTCGTTGTTGGTCACATGCTCTGTCCAAGAGATCTTCAGCATCCTTCAAAAACCACCATCTCAAAGGCTTCTATACGCCTCATACTTGTAATTCCGAGAGTCCATGTTTCCACTCCGTATAGAAATATGGAATAAATAAACGTTTTTACAAATTGGTATCAGATATCCAACGATAACATAGAGTTTATTAGGAATTTTCTCATTCGTTGAAATGCGGACCTAGCATGTATTTCGATCTCGTAGTCAAGATCGTTTGTTATCCAGCCACCAAGATACTGGAATCTTTGTACTGGTTATATATGTTTCTTATAGATACGAATATTAATGTCGACATTTGGTGCACATGTAACAGCCATTACTTTTGTTTTATTTGTGTTTATATTTAGTCCCAAGCTATCTCCCTCTCTGGTTATGACATTCAAAAGTCGTTGTAAAACCTCAGCACTGTCCGCAGTAATGACGGTGTCGTCTAAGTATCTTAAGTTGTTTACATATTCTCCGTTGATTTTTATTCCTCCTTCAATATTTTCGAGGGCATTTTGAAAGATCTTTTCGGAATATATATCAAATAACAGTGGAGAAAGTACACAGCCCTGACGAACTCTTCTTTTTATAGGCAATTCTGCTGTGAGACGATTGTCTATTTTGATACACGCCATTTGATTCCAATATACTTTTTTATTAAGTGCTACAGTGTTATGGTCTATACTAAATCCTTGTGTTAGGGTTTCTATGAGTTCTGTGTGTTTTACTCGATCAAACGCTTTTTTGTAGTCGATAAAACAGAGAAACACGTATTTTCGGTGATTTCGACATTTTTGTAGTAATATCTGAAGGCCAAATAATGCCTCCCTTGTACCAAGCCCCATCCGAAATTAAAATTGATTGTCTCTCATGTTTCTTTCGCATTCTCAGAAAATTTCTTATCAGGCTAAAGAAGTCGCAGAAAACTTCTCAT